AAAAATCTATCCATCCGGCAAAATCTATATAAAAATATCAAACTCTGGAGTCACCAAATTCAATTCCCAACAAGTCAAAGTTCCGATTCGAAAAAATTATGTGAGGAGATGATAACTCGTCGAGTTCCATATGTATAGTTGTCGTATCAATAACGATTCTGCATGGCACGAAACTCTCGTTTTCCCCAATCACTAGAGAACAATTACTATAAAAACCTTCTTTGGGTGGAAGGTTCAACAAACACGACCTAGAAGCCGACAACTTTTTACCATCTCGTAAAAGATTTTCCTCGTTTTTAACCATCATCATAAGGCGATGATTGCGGCCCAACAGTTGTGACACGTAATTCATGTCACCATCGGCAAGCGCAAGCCGAACTCGAGTGGATGATACTTGGCCTCGCTCGTTTATTGTTCCGTTAAGATGATGATGATCAATCTCCTTGAAATACTCTTGCTTTTTATCCATGACAGAATCTACTATAGAGGCTTTCATGCCATATTCATTGCACAATTGAACCAAATCAGATGAGTCGCCAGCAGCTTTATACCCAAACCGGTAGTTCTGACCTGTCGTCATATTACATTTCAAGCTGATTCTTAAACCTTTATATATATAAATCATGTATCATAAAAGAATAATGGGCAATACCTGCCACAACCCCACCAACTCCAAGCTCGTCTGATAATTTCTCAACAAACTGACGTGGAGAAAGATATCGAACTTTCGAGAACTCAATGTGAAATTCCTTGGGTGTAATATTAGAACATAGTGGGGCCCAAGATGAGAGAACTCGCTTCCGATCACATTTGGCAACTACAGGAGGCCTGACCAGTAGTATTTTAACACGTAAATGATAGAATAGGTTTAGAAGCTACTTTATTTCCCCGTTCTTGGAAGCTAATATTGATTAAGAAACATCTTATTCAGATACTACAATGTCATAAGCAATTGCAGCATGGAAATCTAAAGAGATCCTTTATACAACCTTTAACATTAGTGTGAATAAAGCAACCTTTCGACAGAATACATTCATCTAAATTGTTTAGATCAAGGCTGCTTTCTGATAAGTGATAAATTAGTTGATATTTCTAAGTAAAAATGTTAGGAAGTATCATGAAAAATGCACAAAAGGAGTTTAATTTTGCTCCATGAGTGACATAATAAACAGGGTTGATTATGAATAATAAAACCGAGTGGAAGACTTATATAAATTAGGTAAAAGAAGCAGTTAGAGCAGCCTCGAGAATTTATTATGTATACCAGTCCATAATCACTGACTCGTTGGGAATAACTTATGTGAATTTACTCATGCAGCAAATATTTTAGAATATAATGACCAGAAAAATATCAATACCTGGCTTCCCACCCAAGTATCTCAGCCATTCCAACGAAGGACAATAGAAATGGAACTCCAATCTTTGCAGCTTGAATTGCGAGCTCCCTATGACCAATATGAAGGGCATCAAACTTTCCCAGTGCTACTATTCCTCCTAATATGATGAACATCAAAGAAAAATCATCAGTTACGACTAATGGAGATATTGAACATGCTTGTGTGAAATAAGTACCTTTGGTTGATAAGACAGTTCACGTTTTGAATGAAGAAAATATATGACCACGTAGCATTACTACCCATTGTGCGATTGAAATAGCAGTTTTTCAAATTTTATATGGTCAAGTCCAGCAAAACATAACTTCCAAGATATGAGGCAGAACAAAGTCAATGAGCTGTCACAAGGATTTTTTTTTTTTTAAGAAAAAAAGAAAAACTATGGTTGCTACTTGAAGTGTAGATGAAACCATCATTATGTGCAAACTGTTTACACTTTACATACATACAAGAGTACAAGTTTGAAAAAAGTAAAGAGTAATGAAATGGCTCGTGGGCCTAAAGAACCAACCTGCCAAAGATGATAATCCTTGAGATGGACTTCCATCGTTTTCAGCTGGGCTACTCGCAGTTCAAGGAGAAAAAAGAAAAACACAAAACTTGAGCACTTCAAATCACGTCAAAGGCTAGATGCTAAGATATGGCAGTGGAATTTCAATCATATTCCTAACAACCACCAAAAACAACTTGAGAAGATAAGAGTAATGACGCCTCGCGTTGGCTAATTGATTGTTTAGGAGATGAGAAAGCAAGCATTAAAGTGAAAGTAGCACAAAATGCTTGTTGAACTTCCACAATTGACATAGGTTATCCACAAACGTACACCCAGGAAGTTTATTCGAAAAAAAATTACATTACACCAAAACCAAACAAGATTTGAAATCTCAAAATTATTAAAATAATAGAAATAGGAAAAGGAATAAATAGAAAATTACGTTAAATAATCCGAAAGAAAAGGAGGCTGAGATGCATCACTGTGAATGAAAGAGAGTCCAGAGGATTCATCATTACTATTATTGGTAATTGGCAAGGACGACGAAGAAAACGCACAGACACCTAAGAACTTGAATCTTAAAAGCCTCATCGTGGAGCAAGGAAATTTTCGAACAGGCGAACGAGGACTTTTCTCCCGATTTCTGTTGCAGGTAAAACTGCACAGCCCCAATTGGCGAGGATAATAATCTCGTAGATGCTGAGAAATACAAAATCCACTCATCATAAGTGCTTGCTATGTTTGAACAAAATCAAAACCCCACCAACAATTTTGGAACTGAGCAAGGGAGATAATGATTTATTTGGTTTTAGGTTTTACCAATATTCTTTTACCCGCACTGGTCCAACGGGTTGACCGGTCACCCAGTAAGGGTGTGTCATTTGACCGGTCTTCACCTGGTCAACCCGAACATTGACCCAACCGGATCGATTCATTTTGACCCGGTCTATTTATACTTTTTATTTTTAATTTTGAAAATAATTTTTGATTTAAAAAATATATGTATATATTTATATTGTAAATATTTATGGAAAGATACAATAATATTAAAACATTAGGTCAAAGAATAAATAAGGGATAATTTCATGATAAAATATGGACTTAAGAATCATAGTCAATTCAAACTTGGGTCAGTTAGCTCTTTATTAAAACATACTTATAGTTTGCTCACACCCGACAAAGAATGAATCAGACAACATGAGATCCATTCAATTAGACATCCTTGACACCATCAACATCACCAATAGTTGAATTTATTCTATGATTAACAATCATCCTAATTTATGTGTATGTTTTATTAGGGGTTTTCACAAAGTGGGCAAAGCCCAAATAACACCCAAACAAGATGCTTATGAACGCTCTGGAAGAAAATTAACCAATTTTCATCATATTTTAGCTGTGTGAACTTTTTCCTATGTTTTTTTTAGTAGGTTTTCTGCAGGAGAATGAGCAAAGCCTCAAAATATTTATGACGATGATCCAATCTTCAACATATTTTGACTATGTAATTCTAATAATATTTTCATTGGTTCAAATTTATAATATATAGCTGGATGTGTATACCAAAATTATATCTAATCGTCATCTGCTTCGACAATTTATTTGGTGTTTGTACATACTATGTTGTAAGCAAGCAATACTTGTTTAAGATGAATGTATTGCTCATTTTTCATGTAAATTCAGTACTTCTGCGGTATATAAATTATTCTTATTTTTTTTTTCTGTCAGAATTAAAGTTTATCGTGTGTAAGATGGTGTTGAAGTTGCTCGTTCGTCCTATTAACAAAGAAAGAGAAAATAGAAAGAAATAATACAATAATAAATCACTCATGAAAGCACAAAGACCAGTCCAATACAAAAAATGATGATCCGTTGTTACTTTGCTTTGCTTGATGCTTGAAAGTTCTCAATATATGCGATGCAAAAAGTCTTGATAATTACATTGTGATCCATCTGTTTTTATAACGGAAATATAGTCGAGTAACAGGGCATAAGCGTTTACCTGAGATGAGCGTAGAAATACACTGCTTGCAAGGTCCTCCTTTAAGAACACAGGAATAGGTGGCATTTGGCTCATAATTCCAGGCATTTTTCTCATGCTTCAATATAAAATGATAATAAGCTAAATTAGATAAAAAAGGTATAAGCTCCAAAACCAACGTTAATAGACCAACAAGCATAACATACTTATTCAAGTAGATAGACCAAGAAAACCATTTGTGTGTGACAAAAAAAATTGATTGACAGACCAACATTTTCAAAATTAAATATGTATAAAACACTAATCATTTTCAATATATTGCTGAATTTTTCTTTTTACAAAACAAGAGCAGCATGATTGAACTGGCAGCAGCTAGCAGGACCACATAAAAATATCATACTCTGGCAAGATATCAAATATTGACATAAAACATAGTTAAAGTCTAGTGCATATCAATGATAAATGTCATCAGGCTACCATGAAATAAGCGTGTGAAATAAAGGCATTGAATACGTAAATAACAATTAGGGAATATAAAAAAATTTCCAGCAGAAATGAAAAAAGCAAGAAACCAACAGTTGACAAATATCGCTGATTAGGACAATGATTTGGCATCAACCACAATCCATACATTTTCTTGCTTAAATTAAAAATAAAAAATAAAATAAAAAAGTATAAAATTAAGCATAAGAAAGGTTGAACACCAGCGGCTCAGTAAATTAATACAGCTTAAACAAGCCTAAAACCTGATTCTAGATAACCAAGGGTTCATGCAACTGAAAACATCCTTAAAGCCTTATAAAATACAACCGGAGCAAAGATAAACGAACTGCTACATTGAAGGGAAAAAAAGGTCTTCAGGATCAACCAGCCAAGATGAATAATTTATATAATTATTTCCTCCCAAATCATTGGATGATCATTTCTTAAAATCTAAAGATGTTAGTTCTTACTATGGAAAACTTAATTGACAGCTTCCGCAAGACTCTAAGCCACAACACAAACTATATTGGATAGGCTACACCTAAAATATAACGAGTAAATGCATTCAAACAGATGTTAGAATAAAGTGTATAGAAGCCCCACATTCAAAATGCCTGTTGACGAAATATATATTAAATGAGACATTTATATGTAACTAGCAACCAAGTTTTTGCTGGAGAGGAAACTCAATCGCACAGAGAGTTGGAGGAGTCTTTCTACTTTATATGATTGAAAATGCTCTACCGCATGACCCCATCATTTAGCTGGAAACTGATGGATCCCACTCAACCATTTGAGAAAAAAACCAACAACCAATAACCAAAAGCATTAAAATTTACAGGCATGTGCCTCATGAATGATCTCTACTGGGCAATTTTGCCTTATAAATTCGGATAAAAGGAAAGAGATAATAACAAAAAAAGAAAAAATGATCCAGCCACCATTTGTGAGCATCATTTCAAATGCTCAAAACAAAATGAAAAGAAATCCCATAAGGGGGCTCAACCAAGTTTGTTTCGTAAGTCTACAAGCAAATTTCAATACAGCCCATAAAACCTTAAAATCCACATTTCCGATTCTACAACAGTCTATGGCAAAACACATACTAATATCGACTTTGAAGAATGTAAGAAGGCAAAAGATAAAGTCATCAGACATGAGAGAGGATCGAACAACAGTTAGTTAAAAAGGGAAAAAATGTAATAATAGTTAAAAAAAAAGACATAGTTCGAGTGATGATACCTCGGCCAATACAAATCTGAGTGAGCATGAACAACGCAATCTGCCACGCTTGAGCCGTCAGTATCAGATGATGAAAGAGAAGATTTTTTATCTGCAAGAATTTGTTGTAATTCTTCCCAGCGGTCACATATCGGTGCGATTTTGAGGTGTGCCCCAACTTTAACAAGCAGCCCTAAAAATTTCTCCTTTGAGCTAACAGCTGCATTAAATTAATCAACCACCAAAACGAAAAACTGTAACTTTCACACAATTTTTTTGGTTCGGTCAGTTTTTGGTTTTTCTTTACAAAATTTTCAGCCCCCATTTGAGAACTGGGCAGCTATAACGAACATAATTTTTTTCTAGTTTCGTAATTTTATATACTTAGGCCTCATTTACTTTTGTTGATAGGATTGCACAATTTAGTCACCCCAACTTTACATGTCAGCAATATGTCTCATGTTTACATTGTTGGATGCAATTTTAAGAAAATATATCCTTCATTTACAAAAAGGGACTATTTTACATGATAAAGTGTATAATGTCAGACTTGCCCTGCTTCTCACCTCGGATGTGTATTTGCCTTGTATTTCTGAAAATCAATTCGCCCCTCTTTCACATATCTGTCGCTCCGTGTAAAAAAATTTCGCACCTTAAAAATCCAGTTCATATTAGGTGAGTTAAAACATAAAATCCAATTCATAGAAAAATCCATGGATATGAAAATTGTTCCAAAAACAGAGTAAATCGAGCATGACCTTAGTTAGACAAACCAAAACCACAAAACCAGAAATTGGAAAAAAATAAATACAAAAAACGAAAAAATCGAATTATGATTCGAGGAATTTCGAGCTTACTTTTCTTCCAGACGAAAATACTGAAGCAATATGGCATCTTCCCCCGCTCGTGCTCGTCTCTGCAAAATCTGGGGTTTCTGAACAGGCCAGGGACGGAAGGTAAGAGGGAAGCTTAAAGGCACCAAAAATCATTCAACTATGTAGTATACGTGTTTGCAGTATAGAAC